CCAAATTCCCTCCCCAATTCCAAGATCCCTCGCCGCGCGGCGCGATTCCGGAGCTAGGCAGCTAGGGTTTGCAGGTCCTTGGACCGAGCTGCGCGATCTCGCCGTCCGCTCGGGGGCTAGGGTTTGGATTGGGGTACAGCCCTGAGCGAGCTCCGGATTGAGATTTGGGAGAGTGGTCGCGGTTCTGGATCCAGCTGCCCCGTGTGCTGCGATGGTGGTGAGTGGAGGAGGACGTCAGTGACAGTTGGTTTCGGTGGGATAAGGAGAAGCCCGCAGCCATGGTGCGGCTTCTCGGGCTGCGGGGCCTCAGCTTCGGGCCTGAGGAGTCGCCGCGAGAGATCACGGCCGCCGGCGGAGATGCCGCGCCCCCTGTGGGGAGCAGCGGCTGGCTAGTCCGCTTCTTCGACTCCGCTTTCTTCTGCGAGTGGATCGCCGTCAGCTACCTCTACAAGCACGACCACGCCGGCGTGCGCGACTACCTCTGCAACCGGATGTACACGCTCCCGCTCTCGGGCCTCGAGGCCTACCTCTTCCAGGTCTGCTACATGCTCGTGCACAAGCCCAGCCCCTCCCTCGATCGCTTCGTCATTGACACGTGTGCCAAATCCCTGCGCATCGCGCTCAAGGTGCATTGGATCCTCGCTGCTGAACTTGAGCTAGAGGAAACCGAGGATCTGGATGGGATCGATAAGGTGCAGGAGCAGTGCCAGGCTGCAGCCACCGTGCAGGGCGAGTGGCCGCCGCTGGTCCGACCTGCGCCGCTGTCCCCTGTTGCCAGCCCACGCAGCAATCCCATGCTCAGCAGGATACGCTCGTCAAAGCAGCGACTGATGTCCCTTGCGTCGTCGCCCTCTCTTGGTTTGAGCCCCCCTCCCAGCAGCACCAATGTGTCTGCTGCTGAGGATGCTGGAGCTGGCAAAGGGAAGCAGCCAGTAACACCATCTTTGGAGGACAACAAGCTGCTTAGGCGATTGAGCATCGGGCCAAAGGCCTTCTTTAGGCGCTCTGTGGAGAAGGACGAGGAACAGGATAAGGATGGGTTCTTTAAGAGGTTGCTTAGAGACAGCAAGGACAAGGAGGAGGATGATGGAGACAAGGAAGGTTTTATTAAAAGGTTGCTTAAGGATAGCAAGGAGAAAGAGAATGATGAGGAAGAAGGGGATAAAGATGGTCTCTTCCGTAGGTTGCTTAGGGACAGCAAGGACGAGGATATGGAGCTCACACCTAGCTCGGATGGTTTGCTGAAGAGACTCTTCCGTGACAAAGAGGACAGACCGGGCGACGATGACGAGAAGGAAGGTTTTTTCCGCAGGATATTCAAGGATAAGAATGAGGAGAGGAGAGAAAGCATGCATGGAAGGCTTGGGGATGAGGAAAGAGTAGGTAAGAGTTTGGAGGATGATGATAGGGAAGGGTTCTTCCGCAAGATCTTCAAAGATAAGAATGAAGAGAAGAAAGATGGAGGCAGTCATAAGCAAAATGATGATAGAGAAAAGGTCGGTGTGAACACTGAAGAGGACAGGAAGGATGGCTTTTTCCGGCAACTTTTCAAGGAGAAAAATGATGAGAAAAAGGAAGGCACCACTCCCAGCAGGAAGGAGGACGACAGCAAAGGCAATAAGAGCATAGACGACGATAATTTCTTTCGCAGAATTTTCAAGGATAAGAATGAAGAAAAGAAGGGAGCTGCCCATGACAGGAACGAGGATGAGAAGTGTGAGGAAGGTGATAAGGAAAATTTCTTCAGGAAACTATTCAAGGACAAAGACAAACATGAGGACAGGAGAATCGAAGGGCTTGATAAAAATGATGACGATGGTAAGAGCACCAGTGGTATTGAGGAAGAGGAAAATTCAGAGTTCTTGTCATTCCGCAGGTTGTTTCGAGTGCACCCAGAAGACGCTAAGAGTGGACATATAGAAGGTAGTCAGCCTAACGGTATTTCTGAGGGTAGCCCGGGATCAGAGAGCTTTTTTAAACGTTTATTCCGTGATAGAGAAGATTCTGAGATTTTTGGCTCAAAGTTATTGAAAGAGGCAAGACATCTATCTTAACTATTCTTTCTTTGGTTATAAAGTTTCAGTGTTTCATGTTTTGCATCATCATATTGAGTAATTACTTCTGGCTGCACACAGATATGCTTATTACTTCTTGGTGTGAGGTGACATTGTATCGCTAGTTGCCATTAGTATTGTACACGTAACATTAGTAGTTTGATTCGCAACTCCTATTTTCAGTATGGGCGAGAGCTTGGTTATGAATTTCTTAGATTTATTACAATATTCTCCATCCATGGCTGCTGTGATATAAACAAACAGTTTGATTATGCTATTTGTACATATTTTGTATTTTTAATTTTAATTTCCTTTTACAGCATGCTTGCCTTCCTAACTGCAATATATGTCTTTCAGAAACACCCTGGTTCCACAGGAAACAGTGAGAAACAAAGTGGAAAACCACCTTTACCAAATAATGTGCTGGCAGAACTACGGAAAGGCTCTTACTACGCTTCACTGGAGCTAGTTCAATCATTATGTGATACATCTTATGGTCTCGTAGACATATTTCCCGTTGAAGATCGCAAGATTGCCTTGCGAGAGGTAAGTCGTTGCATTAGGTTGCCAGTGCCCTGTACTAATTATTGGCTTTATGCTCCTTCAGTCATATTCATATTATCGTGTTACAACAGCTACATCCATTTTCTTTTATTTGCATTCTAATTTCTCCTTTGGTGGTTCTTTTTGTGCCAGTCTCTTACAGAGATCAATTCACATATTGCTTCCAGTGAGAAAAATGGAGGTGATTTCTCTATCCTATTTGAGATATTACGCACTTTACTATCGTTGTTTCCTAGGTTACTTAGTTTCTGCCCTAACATTTTCAACATCACAAATTGGTGCTTCATTCCTTACAAGACTGCATTTTAATCTTCAGTTGGAAGCTACATGACATATCACATTTACATATGGTCTATGCTAGTATTTTTAACATCAAAGTTTTGGTGCTTCACCCCTTTTTCATATATTTACATTTTAATCTTAAATGGGAAAGTACTTGACATGTCACATATGGTCTGTGCCTTACTGTTCTATTGATTTCTTGGCTGCAGTTTTGGTGATGGTCACCTTTCTTTGTGCATAAATATTTTCTGCAGTTGAGTTTTTGTAGTTGTGTTGTCCAACGTTAATAGTTTTGGAAGGACAATGAAGGATAAACACTTCAATAAATCATGTGCATATTCTGTTGAGTCAGACTTGGTTCTTTTTGCATTTTGGTGCATGAGTCATCATCACCGTTGTATGTTTTGTACTCTGTAGTACTATTGCCTGTGTTTGCTAAGCTGTTGAGCCTGCTCAAATGGAAGTATAGGCAGCAAAATCAAGATATGCCCCGCATATAGCGAAAAAGTGTGTCTTGTAGCTTGGATCTGCCTTTTCTTTGCTCCTTTACTATCACAACATCAGTGGAATTTTAACTAAAGGAAATGAAGCTATTGATATCGTAAAGCAGCAGCTAGATGTGCTCTCAGGCTCTTTTTCCCCCTTTGTTCTTTCTACTCGCAGGCGTATGCTTCCCAATGGGAAGGGGCATATATCGAGTGGTTCATATACCTGAAGACGAGTCTGTTCTTCTAAACTCTAGGGAGAAAGCTCCCTATCTTATATGTGTTGAAGTTTTGAAAGCAGAAACACCAAGGTATGTAGCTTGGGTTCCATGTTAGCGTATAAGTGCTCAGTGTTAGCGTAAAAGTGCGCAGTGTCTATATATTAGTTTAAAAGGATCATATTACACAGTTGAGGTTGTGCCAAAAGAATGTTTGATACTAAGCAAATTAATGATGTTTGTCATTTAATTTGTTATTGGAGCTTCAATTGGTAACATCAGTTGTTTTGCCTTTCTAGTCACTCCAAAGGGTCCTCAGATGTGAACAAACTATCAAAAGGCGGGATACCGTTGGCTAATGGAGATGTTCAGTTGCCAAAGCCGCCTCCATGGGCATATCCTTTGTGGAGTCGACATGAACCACAAAATTATGAAACAGACAGAATGCTGAACTCTACCTCTCAGGTTATTGACCAAGCCATGGCTCAACTATGGGAGGCCAAAGTGAAATTTGTAAATGTTAGTTTCTCTATCGAGAAAATTGGTCGTTCTAGAAGCATTGCAATGTCTGAGTCGGGGCGTAGGATACGGCAACCTACAACAGAGTCACATGATCTATCAGGAGATTCCCAGGCTGTTGTTGATCAGCCAATTGAGTGGGTAAAGGTCACCCTGTCTGCGGTTCCAGGAGTTAACATGGAAGATGTAGATGACAATGAACCGACACGGAAGAAGGACCATCGCCGTGTTCCAAGCACTATTGCAATGGAGGAAGTCAAGGTGCGACTCACTCATGAAATTGGTTTTTAGTTTTCACGCCATTGCTAAATATATTTTATATTCTGTCTCCCTCAAGGTGCATTTGTTTATAAGGTTTTCAGTCTTCCTCAACATTCTTCCTATGAACGATTAGTTTTGAGGCTAGCCGTTTAGATAATCGAAAACTGTAGACTTTGATGTGTAATACAAGGTGATTATGCCTCATCAATTTTGTTATGAAGTGAGCCTATATTCCATCGGGCCAACAGGCCAGCACATATACATGAAGGGAAATAAGCAAAGAAGCCCCTATACAATATGATAACTACACACACAGCACAACCCTGTTCTAACACCCCCCCTCAAACTCAAGGGGGATCTTGTACACCGAGTTTGGACAGGAAAAAGCTGTGTTGGGACCGTGTCTGAGCTTTCGTCAGAAAATCAGCAAGCTGAAGCTCCGAGGGCACATACTGAGGGGCCACAATTCTGTCTTGCACCTGAGAACGAGTGTAGGAGGCATTAACACCGATGTGCTTGGTGAGCTCATGCTTAACAGGATCACGGGCAATGCTGAGTGCCCTAGTGCTGTCGGAGAGCAGAGGGGTCGGTGTAGCAGTGGAAACACCAAAATCCTAAAGAAGCCATCGTAGCCAAGTAATTTCTGCAGTCACGGACGCCATAGCTCGCAGCTCAGCCTCAACACTGGAGCGAGATACAACATTCTGCTTCTTGGTCTTCCAGGCAATCAGGGAGGAGCCAAGAAAAACACAATAGGCAGAGAGAGAGCGGCGATCAGTGGGATCGCTGGCCCAGGTAGCATCACAGTAGGCCTGAAGCTGAAGAGAGCTGGAGCGAGGGAAGAATAAGCGACGAGTCACGGTACCAAGAAGGTAACGAAGAACACGAAGAAGGTGACTGTAGTGAAGTTGAGTGGGAGCAGAGACAAACTGACTTAGAATGTGCACAACATAAGAAATGTCAGGACGAGTGATGCCTAGATAGACAAGGCTCCCAACAAGATGGCGGTAGCGTGTGGGATCTGCAAGGGGTTCACCCTCACCAGGACGAAGATGGAGACCAAACTCCATAGGAGTGTCAACCGTGCGCTGATCAGTGAGGCAGGCACGAGTGAGAAGATCTTGGATGTACTTCTCTTGAGAGAGATAAATACCCTCAGGGGAAGAAATGATCTCAAGTCCAAGAAAGTAGCGAAGAGAACCCAAATCAGTCATCAAGAATTGCTCATGTAGACGTTTCTTCACAAAATCAATGAATTGGTGGTCAGCCCCTGTGATAATCATGTCATCAACATAGAGTAGTAAAAGGGTGCGACCGCGAGGAGAAGTGTGAATAAACAGAGCAGGATCATGAACACTAGCAGAGAACCCGATCCTTGTGATGACGGCGGAGAAACGCTCAAACCAGGTACGAGGAGCTTGTTTCAGCCCGTAAAGAGCGCGCCGAAGGCGACAGACAGTGCCATCAGAGACAGTATAGCCAGGAGGCGGCTGCATATAGACCACTTCCCGCAGCTCACCATTCAAGAAGGCATTCTTGACATCTAATTGAGAGATGGACCACTGCCGAACAGCAACAACAGCCAAAAGAGTGCGAACAGTGGTCATGTGAGCAACAGGAGCAAAAGTCTCATCATAGTCACGACCATACTCCTGCTGGAAGCCACGCGCAACAAGACGAGCTTTGTAGCGCACGAGAGAACCATCTGAATGTGTCTTAACCTTGTAGACCCATTTGCAAGTGATGGGTCTAACGCCTGTAGGCAGGGGTACAAGGTCCCAAGTGCCTGTGCGCTCAAGAGCATGAATTTCCTCTGCCATAGCATGCTGCCATTCAGAATGAGCAGCAGCCTCACGATACGTAGACGGCTCAACAAGAGTGGTAGCAGCAGCAACATAGTACGCAGGAGGCTGGAGAGTGTGGCGATCACGCAGATTATACCGGGGAGCAGGAGGGGTAGGTGGTTCTGAAGGAATGGGACCCAACAGGGAAGGAGTGGAAGTGGAAGTGGGCGCATCCGAGGGAGAAGGGTGCCGAGCACGACGGGAGTAGACAAAAGGAAGCGGAGAGAGAGGGGAAGTGGAAGGTGGCGCATCAGAGGGAGAAGGGTGTTGAGCACGACGGGAGTAGGTAAAAGAAAAAGGAGAGAGAGTGGATGGCTCAACCCGAGTAGGAGAGTCAGGAATAGAAACCTCATCCTGTGTAAGCTGAAGCTCATGAGCAGACACAGGTGAAAGGCTAGGAGTGGACCTACCAGGTGACGATAAAGGTGAAGAATCATGTAGAGTCAAAAAAGAGAGAGGCTCGACTAACGACTCGGTTGTGGTAGTAGAAGAATGACGAGGGTAGAAGGAGCGAGACTCATCAAAAGTGACATCTTTGGAGATTCTCAGTCTTCGAGCAATAGGGTCCCAGCAACGGTAACCTTTGTGCTCCAAACTGTAGCCAAGGAAAACACATTCAACAGATTGAGCAGTCAATTTGGTGCGTTCATGAGGGTGGAGAAGAACAAAACAGGCACAACCAAACAGGCGTAGACCACTATAATCAGCTGGACCATCACCTAGATGATCAACTGGTATCCCTCCCTGAAGAGCAACAGAAGGCTGAATATTAATGAGATAAACAGCGGTAGAGACAGCCTCAGCCCAAAAGTGCGGGGGAACAACAGAAGATAAAAGAAGAGCCCGAGCAGTCTCAAGGACGTGACGATGTTTGCGTTCAGCCGCCCCATTTTGAGCGTGTGCACCAGGACAGGAATACTGAGGAAGGGTACCCTGTTCAGCAAGGAAACCACGAAGCGCACGAGATAAGTACTCGCCAGCCGAATCAGCACGAAAAACTCGAACAGAGGAATCATACTGAGTGCGAACCATGGTAGCAAACGACTTGTAAATTTGAAGCACTTGACTACGAGATGACATAAAGTAGATCCAAGTGTGGCGAGAAAAATCATCAATGAAAATTATATAATATTTGTGACCCCCTTTCGAAACAAAGGGGGCAGGACCCCATACATCAGAGTGAACAAGTTCAAAAGGTCGTTGAGAAACAGAATTACTAGAGGGATATGGAAGTTGTATCTGCTTGCCAAGCTTACAACCCATACAAGTTAGTGAACTATCACCAGATACAGACCCTAGAACACCACTCCTAACCAAAGAAGACAAGCGGGAGCCACAAATGTGACCCAATCGATGATGCCACTGAGTGAAGGATGTGGTGGAGGTGGCAGCTGAAGCAAAAGGGGTGGTGATGTCCGACTGGCTAGAGGACGCAGCGGAAGGAAGGCGCAGCCAGTCGAGCTCCCAAAGGCGCTGAGAGTCATGGCGCTGAGGACCGATCCCAACCAGAGTCCCCGTATGACGATCCTGAACACAACAAGAGTCAGAATCCAGAATAACACGACAACCCAAGTCAGTAAGTTGACCAGCAGATAGAAGTTGCATAGTCAGTTTAGGAACATGAGAAACGGCAGGGACATGAAAAGAAGACGTGGAAAGAGTCCCTCTTGCGGCAACAGAAAGAGAAGTCCCATCTGCAGTCTGAACTGTAAGAGGAGAAGGCACGGAATTGACAGCACAAAGATGATCTCTGTGTGGTGTCATGTGGAAGGAGGCCCCAGAATCAAGAATCCAGGGCAAAGATGTACCTGACGAAGAGTGCGGTGGTGGACCAGACGTCTGACCAGCAGAACCAGCAGAACCTGAGGATGGTGCAGAAGCAGTAAGGCGGCGCAGCAAGGTGAGCATCTCCTGGTGAACCTTCTCAAGGGAGCCCTCACGAGAATTAGAGGAGCCTCCCAGAGTCCTTTTGAGGACGGCCACCACGGCGACCCTGTTTCCTCCTCTTGATGCACTCCGTGATCATGTGACCATCCTGCTTGCAGTAGTTGCAGAAAGCACTAGTGGAGGTTGCTGCCACCTGTGTAGAAGAGGGCACACCAGGCAGCGTTGGTGGAACACGGGCAGCCAGGACTGCTGAAGAGGATGGCAATAAGCCCGTGCTCCGTAGGCGCACCTCCTCAGATCGCACCTCAGCAAGGGCCTCTAGAGTAGAGAACCGAGGATGGCGTGCCAATAGCTGAGCACGACTCTGCTCGAACTCCGGCCGGAGGCGAGTGAGGAAGTCGTAGAGGCGACGAACCTCCAGCTTAGCTTGTTGCCGCACACAACACTGACATCTGCGACAAACATCAGCTCCCAGAGAGTCCAATTGGCGCCACACCGCCGACATCTCCTTGTAGAAATCATCCACAGTAGCATCTCCCTGTTGTAGTTGTTGCTCTTGACGAACAACAGAGAGATACATGGCATCCCCTGCAGACTCATAGCGATGGCGAAGGTGCTCCCACATCTGATATGCAGTGGTAAGGGCCACCACATCCATGGTGAGATCAACATCCATGCTGTTCACCAAGATAGAAGAGGCTCGAGCATCATCATTTGTCCATTGCTTGTATAAGTGGAGTTGATTCTGATACCCTTCAGTGGCCTCTTCAAAAGCATCTAGCATCTCACGTTGCTTGGTTTCATCGACATCAACAGGGAAGGCCAACTCAGCTGGAGGAGTGGGCAGCAGGGGACAAGGCAGAGCACCAGAGAGGTGCTCCCAGACCAGCTGGCCCCTCATGTGCAGCTTCATGTGCTGCACCCAGTCCCTGTAGTTCTGTCCGTTGAAGATAACAGGACATCGTGGGACTGGGACAGCACCGGTGGTGGTGGAGGGCGCCATTGCAGCAGAGCAGCAACAGCAGCTCGTTGAAGACCAGCAGCAGCAAGAGGCACAGCTTGATGGCAGCAGCAGACCAGGAGGAGAAGAGCAGCAGCAGCCGCACTTTGAAGAGCAGCAGCAGCAGCTCGTTGAAGAAGAGCAGCAGCAGCAGCAGAGAAGAGGAGCAGCAGCAGCAGCAGCTCGTTGAAGAGCAGCAGCAGCACGTTGAGGCGGCGGCGCCGGCCGGGAAGGACGGCGGCAGCAGCGGCCTGGACCAGCAGGCGGCAGCAGCTACCAGGAAGAAGAGGGGAGAGGCTCGATGAAGAGAGGAGCGGCGGCCGGCGGCGGCGGCGGCGGCGACCAGAGGCGGCGGCGGCGGCTGGGGAACCTAACCCTAGCTCTTATACCATGTTATGAAGTGAGCCTATATTCCATCGGGCCAACAGGCCAGCACATATACATGAAGGGAAATAAGCAAAGAAGCCCCTATACAATATGATAACTACACACACAGCACAACCCTGTTCTAACAAATTTGACAGTGGGTGGATTTTTTTTTTGCTACTGTTTGTTGAATTGGTTTCCTTGACTAGGCTGCAGCGTTAAAAGGAGAAGCCCCACCTGGTCTTCCACTGAAAGGAGTTGGTCAAAGCACTGAAAATTTGGATCCTATGGTGATTCACTGATATTGTGCCCTCAGTTACCTCTCTTTTGAACATTTTCCTTTAGGTAGTAACTCAATTTTCCAATAGGCAACTGATGGCGGAGATCCTAAACCAACTGATGCTTTGGCTGGTGAACTTTGGACTGTCAAGAAAGAGAGAATACGCTGCTCTTCAGTTCATGGAAAATTACCTGGCTGGGATTTGCGTTCTGTAAGTCCACATGGAAAAAAATGTTCTGCTATTAGATTATTTACATGTTGCAATATTAACAAATACAAGCTTTATCAACATTTTTAATTATTTATATTTAGGCATTTTTTAATGTTATTTCTCTGAAGGTTAATTTTCCTTGTCCCTTTGGTTGAGCATGGACACTGCACTTCAGTTATCAGCATAATTTTCTGTCTCTCTATTAGCTTCACCAAAAAAATGTTTAGGAGAGAATTAAGTAACTGTTACTTTTCATACTACTCCGTATTATGTCCCCCAACATTGCCGTATTATGTCCCCCAACATTGACTTTCTGAACATATAGTTAAACCATAAAATAATCATAGACACATTATTTATAATATCAAGGTTCATAATATGGGATGCACTCTTTTGCCTATCTCATGCATTAGCATTTATAGTTGAAGATATAAAAAACTTCTATTATAAAATAAGTAGGTCGTTGGATAAACTGATTTATATGGTAAAAAATGGCTGGGGTAATGTTTGTTCCCTAAACTGAAGCAACTAACAACACAAATATGAGTAGTTTATGAGCGTCATTTCAAGTCTGCGGATGATTGTTGTCATGCTTGAGATTTAACGGCTCAGTGCCTTGTAGGACATCTTACTCTGAAGTGTTGTCAGTTATTGCCAAGCTTCTGAAACACTTTCACCAATTGCAGATTATTGTCAAGAGTGGGGATGATTGCCGACAGGAGCACTTAGCTGTACAGCTTGTCGCACACTTTTATGGTAATGTGTAAAGCAACTCTAGTGTCTCATGATAGTAATCAATCTTATCTTGATTGTGGAGTTCGTCCATTTTTGCTTTTCACTACCATATATGGTAATGTGTAAAACAACTCTAGTGTTCCAACTCTAGTGCTGTATTGGTTTTTGTGCTTACATTCTGCTTAGTTTTGCTTTTCACTACCATATATGTCAGGCCTGAAGCATGTAAATATTCTATAACATTTCTTATGTTCTGGATTCCGAAAGGACTATACTAATTAATTTGCCTGAAGTTTGTGTTAGTTCCATTTAGGGCGTGTTCAACTCATTATTGTCCTGAAAAATCCTTTTATCGGCAGATATATACCAAGAAGCTGGCTTACCACTCTGGTTACGGCCTTATGAAGTTATCGTTACGTCTGCATATGCAGCCCTAATAGAGACTATTCCTGATACGGTAGTTATCTTTCCTTCCAGATCACTTTTCTGAATTTCTTCTTCACTGAAAGATCTTAGGTCGACCATTGTTTTTGTTATTGCAGGCATCAATTCATTCCATCAAGAGTAGGTTTCCCAATATCTTAAGTCTTCGTGACTACTATGTAGCCAAGTATGAAGAGAATTCTCCAAATTTCAAACTTGCACAGGTGAAATGCTGGAATATCTTACAACACAGCAAATAGAATCATACAACACAGCAAATAGATCCAAATGCTCAGTTTGTCATCCTCTGCGTTTTACTGTAGGCAATATTTCATCATTTATTCCTCGTCAAAATGCATCTGATTTTTTAATTAAAGTGTTTTTGTTGAGGCAAATAATGGAGGGCTATCGCCCACCTGATTTAATCGAACAGTTTGATTAGTGAATATCCATGGCTGCTTGTATGAAAAGCAGGGCTATAATTGACTACTTTTGATGTGTCACATCCCTTGTCGACTTGTGATGCGTGATGTATCACATCCTTTGTCAACTTGTATCCAGTCCACTCCATGAGATTTATTTGTATCAGTACTGCAGATGAAATGTTCTTTCTTGAACATTTGAATATTGCATTTCTTGGTGTTTCTGTTAGGAAAACCATGTTTTGGCAATGAATTTGCTTAATTTTATAATGAAAGATGACAACTGTTCAGTTGGTAGTTGAATGCAATTATAAGTACTTGGATTGTCTGCATTGGTGTTGGAGTAATTTTTCATGGTGGTGGAAGTGTCATGAATGCAAAATTTGGATGATAGCACCGAATTAATGCCATCCGATGATGATTAGTTAAAATATCTGGTATTAGTGGATTTATAAGCATATCTAACATAAAAAATCCCAGTAAGAGTTTAAAGAGCTCATATTTCATACTATTGTCAGTCCAGTTGAACTGGCTCTTATTTTTGCTATAATTCACAGAGGAACTTTGTGGAAAGCATGGCAGGATATTCAATTCTGAGCTACCTGCTGCAGGTATTAAAATCAAGTACTTCATTACTAATCTGGGTATATTTTTAGAATTAGAAATGTTATTTGGCAAGCTCTGTTGTTTTGAATGTCTAATGCTGTTTTATGCCACTAGTAATCAACAAAGTAGATTAATTAAAAAAACTAATTATTACTCCAGAAGATTGCTAAGTTATGGTTAGTAGTGCTAAAGTTAAAGTTTATGTCATCACATTATGGCCTGTTTGAGTTTTTCTGGGATATAAATTTCCAACTGATCCTGGCTGGTACAGTCAGCAAGTGGTTCAGCCCGAGCACTATCCTGTTATATTTGTGATGTTTAATTAGCTACCTATGGATAGTTGCCCTACTGCATTAGATCCATTTTTTACATATAATCTTCCTGCTTTCTGTAATGTCTTATTGGGCCAACAGAGCCAGCCAAGTCTTGCTATATTGTTGTTAATTAAGTATATAAGGTGAAGGCCTGCCAACTGATACATCTTCTCAAGCTTTTGAGGGGAAGGTAACAGCTGGGAATCCGATCTGCTGGGTGTTAATTTATATGGAATGCTGCAGTGCATATAAATCATTTCCATATAATTAATGCAAGTTTTCAGCTGAAGTGTCGCAACAAGCATCCAATACTTGGAACGTAACTGCATGCCTGTCTTTTAAGATATCCGAAATGGAAGACACTTTGCTGCTGTTTTCTGTTTTTCCGCAGACA